CCACCACAACCTTTTTTTACCTTGACATTCCGTAATGGAATGACGTTTGGAAATCTGGTAGACACATCCATTATGGTTAGCAAATACTGGTTCCCACTTTTGGTTTTAAGGAGGGGACCTACACAATCTTAAGCTGAGTGAAAGGTTCTTCAAATGTGGAAATTGGCATCAAAGGTGCTGGTTTTATTACTGCCTATGGCTTTCCTTATATTTTGGCATGTATGACAGGTATGGCAAAATTCAACCACATCCTTTTGCAATTCAGTCCAATAGAAGTGCTTTTGTGAGTCTTCCTCACTCCTAAATGACCTCCTACCGGTAATTTGTATGCTACCAGCAACACAATCTGGTTCACTTCTGCCCATTTCTCCTCTGCATTAACCTGCTGTGGTCTCCATTTTCACCTTAGAATTCTAACCTTAAGGTAATAACATTCTGGAATACATTCTGATTCGTTTTCCGAGTAGGCTTTTTGATATAGAGCTTTTATTGTCTCATCTTTTTGTTGTAACTCCATTAATCTTTCAGAACTAAACACTTCTGCCTGATCCTCTGCCTGTTCAGGTTTTTCCTTTTTACCATTTCATCCAACAGGGTGTCAGCTAATTGGACCCCAACTCCTTCGTCTCTCTCTTTAGTTTTTTCTTCTTGCTGTAATTTATGACTGTGGGATCTTGTTACTAACACAGTCCACAAAAATTCCAGAGTACTTCATCAGTTCCCTGGTTTTCCTTCTGCTTCTCCACTACAAGGGGTGTCGCTCCCACTTTTGATCCTGTCAGGTCATTTCCAAGAACAAAATGTATTCCTGGAATTAACACTCTATCAGTCACTCCCACTGTCACTTCCCCAGTCTTGATTGGACTTTCCAACCTGATCTTACACGGGGGAACGCTAAATCTCTTTCCATTTATTCCAGATTACTAGTGTCAGGGGTAACATTTCAAAAGGAGTACAAATACTTTCATCTCTTACAGGAACTGGTCAGTCTCCAATAGTATTTTTCAATATTTTAGCTTCTTTACCTTCTCCCCCGTTCTTCCCGAGTAAACCTTACCCACAGAGGTGAAGTTTTTGGAAAGATTGGGCACCATCTCATTCCAGCCCATGACTAGGCTGCCCACTCTCCTGCAGCTCCTCCAACTTCTTTTGGGATTTTCTTCACTACCTCAACTAATCCCACTGTTTTAACCTCTTTTACCACATCCTTTTTCCCAGCGCCTTTCTTAAACCACTAGCACTGTAACTGTGTCCCATCTTATTGCAGTGAATACACCTGAGGTCTTTCACTTCCTTTTCACCCTCTTGGGTTTCTTTTTCCACATCTAGTCAACTGTTCACAGTGCGATCTACTTTTTGATTTTCACTGAAGGATATCACTTTTCCCCAAATTCTATCCCTCACGGAAAGAAATTGCTGTCGGAAGCTAAACTTCGATTTATGCAATAATGCGCATTCATCCGCCATCTCTGCAGCTCTTTTCACTGTTTGAACTTTCTGTTCCTCAGTGTGAATTCTTATCATTTCTGGAAGTGAGTTTTAAACTTCTCCAGCAGAATAATCTCTCTAAGATCCTCATACATCTTTTCTGTCTTTAATGCTCTCACCCATCTATCAAAGTTGCAATGTTTACTTCTTTCAAACATTGACTGGGTTCCTTCTTTAAGTTTCTGAACCGTTTTCTATATGCTTCTGGTACCAATTTGTAGGCACTCAAAATAGCCTGTTTGACACCTTCATAGTCTCCTGACGCCTCATCTAACAGCGCTGCAAACACCTCACTAGCCCTACCTACCAATTTGGTCTGAATTAACATTACCCACACAGTCTCCGGCCAGTTCATCTGCCTAGCCAGTGTCTCAAAGGAAATGAAAAAATCTTCTATATCTTTTTCATCAATTTTGGTAATGTCTTGACATATTTGTCTTTGGCTCATGTCTTTGGCTACAATGGGTTTGCTCATCATCACTTGCCTCCTCACTAAGCCTACCTTCAACCTTCATCTCCATCCTTTTAAATTGACTTTCCTATTTAATTTGCAACTTCTGAAGTTCAAACTCTCTCTTTTGCTTTTTGCTCAGCTAAGAACCTTCTGTCCCTTTCTTTATCTTCTAACATGGATCTTCTTTCCTTTTCTTTAGCCTCTAACTCCAATTGTCTGATTTCCAATTTAATTTTTTCTAACTCCACTGCACTTGCCTGCTTTTCTGATATACCTAAGTGCTTGATCAATTCCCTTCCAATTTCAGCTTATTATCCCTAGTTAGATCCAATTCTAACCTGTTTGCTAATTCTAACAGTATGTTCTTCCTCTGTTTTTCTAAACTTTCTTGGCAAATTTGAGAAGCATCTTCAAATCCCAGAACCTCTTGAGCAATGTTAAGAGCCGTTTCCCTCGCTTTTAATTTAATCAACGACAAGTAACCAAAATTAAACAGATTTTTCTCACTTAATTTTTGCTTAAAAATCTACGACACTAATCCCCAAGTCTGTTTAAATCTGTCCAACTCCGTTCAGATCCCATACACAAACCGGCCAGATCCTGGACTTGAGCCCCTGATCTATTACGGAGAAAGGGAAGGTCGAGCCCCTTTGATAATTAACCTGAAACACCGAGAAGCTGGCCTTGCCCCTCGTAATCTGTTAGAGGAGTAGTCAAATGAAAGGAATCGCTGATATGCACTTTATAAGAAACAAGTAACAACTTATTTATTTAAGCCTAACGGTAAACAAATTAACAGAACTACCAACAAACCATACAGTTCCCCTCTAACTACTAACTATTTCCTAATAAAACAAGATTCCAATCATATGCTGTTCCAATAAACACAGGTCCCACTTATAAAAATCCAAGTAATAAGAAAACAATAAATTAAAACTTAATCTTGAAAGTTCGCACCGAATGTGTCTTGCTGAATGCTGTGCCTTCTCCACTGTTTTTCCAGCCTTTCTTCTGCTGATCTTGCTGTCAGGGATGTTTTCTCCGTAATTTCCTCTGTGAGGCCTCTTAGCTAGAAGCGCCACGGTGCCTTTGCTTCTTTGTTTAGAGAGCGTAATGATTTTGTGAGAGAGCTGGTTTATTTCTCAGAAGGCAGATTTGCTTTCACTTCAGGTGGCGATTGGCTCTCACCCCGATTTTCTAAACCCCCCTTCTTATATACCCCCAATGTCACATCAATTTCTTATAATATGATTGGTTTAAGATTGTCAAAACCATCACTTTAAAATTCAATTGGCTTTCAGTTGCTGAGTGCTTGGTTTAAATGAATTAGCTGAGTCCAGCTTGTTGCCAAAACATCAAAACAAGGCTGCTTATTTGCTTGCCAACTAAGGCCTTTGATACGCTTGTTTCAATTTGGGGCTCTCTGTACAGTGCTTGCAAACGTCCAAGCGCAGACAAAGCACAATCTTTTAAAGGGACCATGCATGACTTTTCCGCCCTATTATTTTTACAAATAAATTCTAACTTCCTGCCTTCCGATTCATGAGTATGCTACACAACTTCATGACCCTTAAATGGAGAACACTACAGAATTTCAAGCTACAGAATGCAAACTTCTCATTGGTCCAATCAATCAATCTGGAGTAGATGGGAATGATCCACTGTGATCTTACTGAATGGCAGAGCAGGTTCTATGGGCAGGATGGCCCATGTCTGTTCCTGTTTCATTTATAGGTTCATACATGACTTCTATCTTGATTCTCAGAGAGCCTTTGATGAGGGAACATTCATAATGATATTTCTGTTCCCCTTAATGATTTTCTTTATAATCACACCCATGGGATTTGGGATTTGCTGGCTAAGCCAGCATTTATTTCAGATCCCTAACTGCCCTGCAGAAGATGGGTGTGAGCTATCTTCTTGAGCCGTTGGTGTCCTTTGGGTGGAGGAACCCCACAGTATGAAGGGAGTTCCAGGAGTTGCAGCTAGTGGCGGGAAGGGTTCATGATATAATGTCAAATTGAAGCAGTTTTGACTTGGAGGGGAACTTGCAGATGGAGGTGTCTCCACGCAACTGCCCATGTTCTTCTAGACATCACAGCTAATGCCGGTTGTTTTGGAGGAGCCTTGTTAAGGTGCTGCAGTGCACCTTTTAGATTGTACATACTGAGGTCATTGCGCATAGGCGATGAAGGGAACGATGTCCAAAGAGGTGGATGCAATGCCAATCAGGCAGGCTGCTTTTGTTCTGGATAGTATCAAGATTGTTGGGCTTGCATTCATCCAGGCAAGTGGTGAGTGTTCTCTCTCACTCTTAACTTGCACCTTGGTACACAGGGTTTGGGGATAAAGGAGGTGATATATATGGATATTTCAAATCAGTGGTAACCTCCAGATGTTACAAGTGTGGGATTTATCAATGGGAATGTCACTGAACTTCAAGACCTATGGTTAGGTACTCTCTTGTTGGAGATGGTCATTGCCTAGCCCTTGTATGGTGCAAATATTACTTACTACTTCTCAGTCTAAGCCTGGTAAATGTTGAGGCCTTGCTGCATATGGACGCGCACTGCTTCAGTATCTTAAGAGTTGTGATTGGTGCTGAACACTGTGCAATCATCAGCAAACATTCCCATTTCTTCCTTCCATCATAAGGTCAGATCAGTGACGAAGCACCCGAAGATGATCGGGCCTAGGATATTTACCCTGAGCAGCTTCTGCATTGACGTTCTGCGATTGAGATGATTGACCTCCAACAACTACCAACACTTTCCTTTTATGCTGAGTATGACTCCAACCAGTGGAGACCTTTCCCTGATTCCCATTGAACCACAGTTTTGCAAGGGAACCTTGATGTCATACTGGATCAAATGCAGCCATAACGTCAAGTACTGCCCCTCTCACCCTGCCTGTGGAATTCAGTTCTCTTGTTCATGTTTGAACCAAAGGTATAGTGAGGTCAAGAACTGACAGCCCCTAGGAATATAATTTTGTTTTCTAATCTTTTTCATTGCTGTTGCCCTGAAATACTACTCACAGTTTCACATTGTCATCATAGCTCCAGAGGTTCTGGGTCCTGAGAAATATGACAAGTCGTGTGATATGTGGTCCCTGGGAGTGATCATGTACATTCTGTAAGTAGCTGTTTTATTTCTCTCCATTGCTGCTTTTTGATTGTCCCTCTGCAATTTCCTCCATTATTATCTGTGAATCGATGGCCCCTTGTCATAGCAATGTAATGTGGCAGACAGTCCATTTGGTAAGTAGCAGACTTTGATCAGGACAGTCCAGTGATCCAAAATGTTCTATGTCGAATTTGTCATGGTTTCTACAGTAATTTCACCAAAAGAAACTTGCACCTGAATTAGACTGGCAAATGTCAAAATGAAAAATATCAATATAAACGATAAGGACATGAGCAAAGTGTGAAATATACACCATCTTCCAGTTTAAAGTTGCTTTTTATCGTATTGATGTTCTGAAAATTGAAGTTTAAGCTATTAAAATGACACTAGCTTACTTTAAGGACAGCATGTTACATAGAATGCAATTGTAAAACCTTTATTTGAATACTACTGAATCTAATCCGATTAAAATATATTGAGACATATTGAATGAACAGTGTGAATCTTAGAAGGCAGAATGTTTTAAGGTTGCTATTTTTATATTAGAAAAAAAATAGCTGACATAAAGTCCTGCTGCACCTGAAATTGTTGCCTGCACATTTAAACCCATTCAGAATGGATGTACATTCAGGGAACTTGCATTGTCAGGTGCTGTGAATGGAGATAAGGCTATTTAATGAACTATGTGCGGTTATGGTGGAAGTAACTAAATAGCAGAGTAAAGTAATTAAGGAAATTTTCTCATGGTTTTCTCATTTTGTATAAAATCACTATTAATCAGTTATGCATGAATTTTCTTGGAAGAAATAAAACACATCAAGGATCTTCAACACTGAACCATTCTGGGCAGTTTCAGGCCAATATTGCAGTTCAAGCCATGTAACAAAATATGCTAATGATTGACTTGTTAAATACATCCTTCAGTTTGATATAGACTAAAGGCTCAAAATTACTACCTGTGGCCTGTGATGAGGCACCTTTTGCCACATCGGATCAGTAGTAAGGACTGACTGTGGAAAGATACTTGACCAGGAATCATTGTGATCCAATTTAGATGCCGTCACTCCCCAAAACCCTGCACCCCACTTCACAATCCTGTTTTTGACTTCTGGAATATGTGAGAGGAAGAGGATGTTTGAGTTGCCCAAGATTTCTGTCAACCAGACCGTTGGTGGTTTGTTTTATCTGCCCACATATAGTGAAATATAGGTGAATTTGAGATTCCAGATAATTGACAGAGCCAATCAACCTGTTCTGCAATAGTAAGATCCTTGAGGGGGCATGGGGAGTTATTGAGGAAACAAAAAGGTTTTGCCTCTGCACATGGCTAGCAAAGAGCACCAGCTAAACACCATCTCTGTGCCAGCAGGCTGTGTGGGTATCCTCCATTCTACTCCAATCATGGCCTGGCCATCTCTCCTGGAATGAAGAAAAGGATTCGAATGGGACAGTATGAGTTTCCAAACCCAGAGTGGTCCGAAGTCTCTGAGGAGGGTAAGCGAATTTGGAAGCACATTATTTCCACATTTCCATAAACCTGAAGATCCTGAGTTAGGTCATACTTTCAGATTTTGACTCTAATGCTCAGCAAATGTTCTATTCAGTAGATTTGATCATGCTTTTTCGTATTGGCGATATTTGGTACGTTTGTTCCCAGAGTTATCAAATTAATAATTTATTGCCAGTGATCACAAATCAATTTAATGGATCACATTTCTATTCAGCGGATGATGTAGTAAGAGAAATGTCAGCAGCTAAAATAAAAGAGTAGGTCTGTACAATACAGACACAACTCCATTACTAATTACTGGTTAGAGATATATTGAGATTGTAGGATTGTTACAGAAAACAATCATTATGTAGGTTGGAGGATTCACAGGATGTGCAAGATGAGGTGATGTCCAAATACAAGTTAATTCCATGTGTGCGCTTAATGCAGAGTAAAGCTATATATGTCTCAGTACAGACTTTTACACTGCTTCTAATCTGTCTCTACCCTAGATTGTGCTTGATATGGAAGTGTATAAAGAACTTTACTATACAGTTAACCCTTGTAGTGCCTGATCTGGGAGTGTTTGATGGGACAGTATAGACAGTGCAACATACCACTGAACTTAAGAGATAGTAGGAACTGCCGATGCTGGAGTCTGAGATAACAAGGTGTAGAGCTGGATGAACACAGCAGGCCAGGCAGCATCAGAGGGGCAGGAAAGCTGACGTTTCAGGTCTGGACCCTTCTTCGGAAAACTACCACTGAACTTACTGGGTTTGAAATAATTGCCAGTTTTTGAATTGTTTTGTCTGGTTCTGATTTGAAATAAAGTACACGTTCACCATATTAGGTGATTCTCGGTAGATCTCAGTGAGTGCTCTGATATGTGATCATCTTGTTTAGTAGCAGCACAGGTCATGGCTCTGTGATTGGGCAGTACACATCAATTGTCATGCGCAAAGTTACAGGAGAGAGAGGGAGAGAGAGAGGGAGAGAAGGAGAGAAGTAAGACTGGTGCTGTTCTTACAGGCAATGTGTTAGCCTCCATTTTTAACCATGATATCATTCATGTCTTGATAAAAATGAACAGTAAACAATGAGAATAGTGGTTAAACAGAGAATTGGTATAACAGTAGGTCAGCTCTGTTCTGTACTAAACATTATAGGTCTCTCAGTGTTTGTGGTTACATTGCTGTAGTTTGTGTAAGCAATCTGACCAAGCACAATTGCAGATTCTAAAACAAACAGTTACATAACCTCAATAGCACATTTCCTCCGAATGATTAAGAAAACTTGGCAGTGTTTGCATTCAATTGCACAATACTCCCCATAGCCCTTGAACCTGGCGAGTTCCCTTCTTCTTTTCAGTACACAATTTCAGGATGTGGGCATTGCTAGTGAGCTCAGAATTCTTTGCCTATCACTGCTTGCTGCGTTGGTGGGGAGCTGCCACCTTGAATGACTGAGTGAGTTGCTAAACCACTCCAGAGAACGTATCAGAGGAACCACTTTGCTGCATAATGGAGCCACATGCTGGCCAAGTTCAGTAAAGGACTGAAGGACGTCAGTCACCTCGTTGGAATTTTGATGACAATCTGGCAGTTTCTTAATCACTTTTTTTTACTGATTCCAGCTGTCTTTCTAAGTAATAAATTTTAAAAATCAAATCCAAGTTCTCAACTTGGCATGGTGGGATTTGAACTCCAGTTCTCTGGATCATTGGTCTAGGGTTCTTGATTATTACTCCAGTAACTGTCCAGAGCCTAACACTGAAAATTGAGGTGTAGAGATATAAGGCAGGGCCTTCACTATAGTCTATGTTATGTAGCCTTCTTAAATATTGATGCCAGCACTTGGTCCTCCATTGGGTAACTGGAATTTTGAAATTGTAATTTTCCTCTTTATGTTGGCAGTGCCACATCAATGGCACTTGGTTCTTGTAACTGGTAACATCTTCTGTATCTGCAGCAAAAGACCTGATCCGACAGGTGCTGAAGACCGATCCCACTGAGCGAATGACAATCACCGAATTTATGAACCATCCCTGGATTAATGTAAGTGTCGTCAAACACCAGCCTTTTTATTCTTAACACACAAATGCAGCTGCCTGTAACCCACGTTTTGCTGGAGCTTATTTAAATGCTACAGTTGTACTGATGTCTGAAAGCAATAGAGTTATCAGATTTAAAAGGTCTGTGTGTACGTGTGGAGACGTTTCTGTCTGTGCCTGTGCGTGCATGTATATGTCTGTGTGTGTGTGTGGAGACACGTCTGTCTGTGCCTGTACACGTGTGGGGGATGCGTAGGGGCTGCGTCTGTCTGTGCGTGTGGGGTGGCACGTCTCACTGTAACTGTGTGTGCGTGTGTGTGGCACATCCGTCTGTGCCTATGTGCGCACGTGTGTGTTAGCGAAGGAGATGGCAAAATACTAGAGATCACAGTGTGAATACAGGTAATAGCAACATTGTGAATGACTCAAAATATGACTAGTGTTAATGGATAGAGTATCAGAAAGATATAGTCACCATAGTCTAACCAGACCATAGGCTGCTCTGTGATCGGAGAGAGCAATGTCTGATGGTGATTTAACCTGAGGGTCACCACACCACAGTCAAGAGGAGATGTTGAGGAGGATAGTCCTCCCTATGTGCAGTAATTGAGACCACTCTGGCATCACTGTGTATCACAGACCAGTCATTCAGCTAACTGACCCCCTATTCTTGGATACACCAAAACAGAATGAGAGTGTAACATACTGCAGCAGGGAGACACCTGTATGAAACACTAACTGTAGAAAACACATTCATAGGAGCAGGAGCAGGAGTAGACCATTTGGCCTTCCTAACCTCTGCACGATTAGATCAGAGCATGACAGCTCTGATTGTCGTTTTCAACTCCAATTTCCTACTTGCTCTCCAAGAAAACTATTGTTTTCTACAGTCTAACCCAGGCTACATTGTGAATATAAGCAAGCTATTAGACCAGGAAAGGGCGTGAGGTTGGAGCTCCAGGGCCCAACCCCAATCCTGTCCCCACTACCCGTTGATACGGATGCTTCAATACAGTAACCGAGAGCAAGTGATTTGGCTGGGATATTCCCGCTTCCCAGTCCAGGCAAATTTATAACACTCTTACTGATTTAGTGCCAAAATTTGAGGAGTTTCCCATAAAAGAAAAACAAAGGTTCTGTTCCAGAGCAACTTGTGGAAAGACTAAATCATTCAAATACTGTTTTTTTTTTGTTCTAATTTGCTTCCAGCAATCGATGGTGGTTCCTCAGACTCCACTCCACACAAGCCGAGTGCTCCAAGAAGAGAAAGATATGTGGGAGGAGGTGAAGGTCAGTGCATGCTCAGTCATACTGTATTCCACAAGGAGTTTCACAATGAACAACAAACAGATGTGTTGTAAGCAGCATTGTTAGGCCAAGAAAGACACGGAGAGGCATTTACATAACTACATTTGCCCAGTTCAGTTTCTGGCCCCAAGAGGTTGATAATGAGGCATTCACCATTGGTAATGCCATTGAATGTCAAGTGGAGATGGTTAGACACTGTTGTTAGAGATCGTCATTGCTTGGCACTTGTGTGACACAAATCTTACTTGATACTGCCATGACTAAGTGAGGAGGAGCAAATCCCTCATCTGGGAACAGACAGAACGGGACTTTCATTGAAGGTGCTAATTATCATCACAAACTATAATCCAGTCTATCACCTAGTAAATTGAAACTAGACTCAATTATAGGTCCATCTTAATTTAATCACAGAGAAATGTTAGCATTCACCTTTCTATGCCCCTTCACTACTGTAGCATCTCATCGTATCTTAAATTATTTCATGGTTTTTGTTTAGACCACCCCAACCCTTCGACCTGAGTTTTTACTCAAATACCTGGAGTGTTCATTTTACTTAACAGACCTGGCAATGTTATATCACCTAGCAATGCTGAACATCACAAAAGCTCTTCCCAATAGAACTAAAGATGTGAATAAAGCCTCAACTGCATGCTAACCTCAAAGTGTAGCTCATTTGTAGCTAGGTCTGAAGACTACAATCAAACTGAGATCTGCTTCAAATTAAGAAATGCAATGGCCTCAGTTCTAGATGGGCAGCTGAACCCTAGGGAGATTCCCACCACAAAAATCCTTCCCAAGATTCTTGTATGTTAGCTAACAATATAACAACTTTCTAGTCTCCCTACAGGCTTTGCATTTCCTGATCTTCCTCAAACCACGCCACCTCCCTACCCTACTTCCTTCCTCTAAGACCATCCTTAAAAACTTCCGCTATCCAAATCTCTCTCTGTGTGGTTTGGTATTAGATTTTATTTGATAACATTCCCGTGAAGCACCTTAGGATGTTTTACCGAGTTCAGGGTGCCACGCGTGTGAAAGTTGTCGTTGATGTAATTCAGACTATGGCTAGAATGTGGATTAGCTGCCACATTGAATGGTTGAATCAGATAGTGCCAACACATTTCAGAGCAGGTTTGATGTATTCTGGAGGTAGAAGAGAATACCGGGTAGGTATAAACACTGGGATAAACTAGTTGAGATGAATGGCATGTTTCTATGTAATTCTTAGTTGCATTTTATGTCTTCATCTTTGCTGTTTTCGTGCTGCATGTTCCACTTATTTTGAAAATGAAAGTTATTTTTCCTTGATAAACACTGATTCTCGAACTAGACGTGGTGAAAAAAAGGGATCGAAACGGTGCACAGGGTTCAAGGTGTGAAATTGTTGAACTCCGTGCCAAGTTCAGAGGTCTTTAAAGTGCCATGTGGGAAGATGAGGTGCTAGCCCTCAAACTTCCTGTTGAGCTTCACTAGGAGAGAGCAGCAGACTGGCTGGCTTAGATAAGTGAGCATGAAAGAAGGGTGGGGAATTGAACTGGCTAGAAACCAGAAGCTTAAGGCCATGTTTGTGAACTGAGCAGGGGTCTTGTGCAAAACATCACCGAGAGCAGTGAGCAAGGTGGGGACTGTGTGACAGGCAGTCAGTAACGATAAAATAAAAGCAATTCTATTGAGTTGAGTTACAGCTCACAAAACCCAGTTCTAAAACTTAGGGTTCCATCTGTTGCCCAGTCAGTATTTCAGCACTCTGTCTACCATTGCAGGGACTAGATGCATTCTGATCTTTAATGAAAGTTTAGTAGTGAGAAAGAATGTGGTGAAATCCCAGTTGCAGTATCCACATAAGTATGAGCTGTAACAATGATGTAACTAAGTGTGCGCGAAACCAGGGAGATGGTGGATTCTGTAGGGTCTATCATCAGGTGGCACAATAAAATCAGAAAATGCAAGAAACATTCCGCAGGTCAGGCAGCATCTGTGTGAGAGAGACAGAGAGAGAGCCAACATTTCAGGTTGGGAGAGAGATAGTAGGAACTGCCGATGCTGGAGAATCTGAGATAACAAGGTGTAGAGCTGGATGAGCACAGCAGGCCAAGCAGCATCAAAGGAGCAGGAAAGTTGACGTTTCGGGTCTGAACCCTTCTTCAGAAAGGATTTCTGAAGAAGCGTCCAGACCCGAAACGTCAGCTTTCCTGCTCCTCTGATGCTGCTTGGCCTGCTGTGTTCATCCAGCTCTACACCTTGTTATCCAACATTTCAGGTTGATTACTTTTTGTCAAAACAATCAGTAAGGAAAATGCAGTACCGAAAGGGCATCAACCTGATAAGTTAACTCTGTTTCCCGTTGCACAGACCTGAGGAGCATTCCCATATTTCACAGCATTTGCTATATTTTGCTTCTGATGTCATGATAATGCAATGGTCAATGCTGTGTTCTGCTTTGACCAGAGAATGTTCAACACGTCGAGATGGCCCAGCACAATTTCTTTTTCATTTAATTGAGGGGCTTAGGATTTGTTGGCTGAGCCAGCATTTATTGCCTTTCTCTAGTTATCCTTGAGAAGTTGGTGCTAAGTTGCCGCTTTAAACTGCTGTAGTCCATGTGCTGTAGGTAGACCCACAATGCCATTAGGGGGAGAATTCCAGGATTTTGATCCCCCCCATTTTGACAGTGAAGGAGTGGCGATATATTTCCAAGTCAGGTTGGTGAGTGGCTTGGAGGGGAACTTGCAGGTGGTGGTGTTTCTATACATTTGTTGCCCCTATCTTTCTAGATGAAAAGTGGTCATGGGCTTGGAAGGTGCTGTCTGAGGATCTTTGGTGAATTGCTGCAGTGCATCTTGTGGATAGTACACATTACTGCTATTGAGCATTGGTGATGGAGGGAGTGGGTACTTGTGGATGTGGTGTCAATCAAGCGGGTATGATTGTACTTAATGCCAGTGGTCATCCATTTACATTATCCAATGTTACAATATATGATGATGCCATTTCAAACTGCTTCTTGACTTTAACGGAAAATTCCTCTTGGTAGTATCTGTTTTAAGATGTGGATTTTACAAAATGTTTTGGGGCGGCACGCTGGCTCAGTGGTTAGCACTGCTGCCTCACAGCACCAGGGACCTCGGTTTGATTCCACCCTCGGGCAACTGTCTGTATAGAGTTTGCACATTCTCCCCGTGTCTGTGTGGGGTTCCTCTGCGTAATTCGGTTTCCTCCCACAGTCCAAAGATGCATAGGTTAGGGTGGATTGGCTGTGCTAAATTGCCCATGGTGTCCAGGGATGTGCAGGCTCGGTGGGTTAGCCATGGGAAATGCAGGGTTATAGGGATAGTGGTGGGTCTGAGTGGGATGCTGTTCAGAGGGTCAGCATGGACTCATTGGACCGAATGGCCTGCTTCCACACTGTAGGGATTCTATGAAAATGCTCAACATCTAAGGTGGTCATTGCTCTAATTCTGTATTGCACACTCTCTGATTTTAGGATGAATTGACAAGTGCACTCGCCACAATGCGTGTTGACTATGATCAGGTGACGATTAAGGACTTGGACAAAACCAGTAACCCCCTTTTAAACAAGAGGCGGAAGAAACAGACTTCATCAGCACGGTCCTCATCAGCTATCTGCAGCAATCAGTGAAGAGAGAACCGAACAACAACAGAACTGGGGATGCTTTTCAACACATGGCGAGAAACCAGAGGTTTTTAAAACTTCAATGTGCAGCCTGAGCGAAGGCTGGAGAAAAATAGAGAGTGGTTTCTACTGTCATAGACAACAGAACTGGGAGGTTGAAGGCAGCTCCATTGTGCCGCTGCTGTCCCCCGCATCCCAGTCCCCCTCCTTTCTGTACTGTTGTGTTGCATTTTTTTTTATATCATGAACTGTTTTAATTAGGTTCAAACTTTGCATTGGCATTGATGAACGAATGACAAAGAAAGAGAAGGTAAGCAGTGAAGATGTAATTTAGTGGGGAGGCCTCACTTGTGAGTGGTAGGTGTGCTGTAAACTGTGCATACTACATGGAGTTTTGGGCCTTTCTGCTTTGAAGCAGCAATGGTCCAAATGCCATCTGTGATTTTCTAGAGTTAAAATAAATGGCTTGCCAAAAGAAGGGGGCCACCTACCTATCACTGACTGTCCATCCCACAAGAAAACCTCCAGGCATTGAATGACATCTCTTTAAAATACAAGTGATGAGCTCCTTTTATAGTGTGGCAGCCTAGACCCAGGTATGGTGAATAGACACTGGTACCAGGTACCGTAATGCCAGCTATATAGAATGTCTAACCCAAGAGACCCAGTGCCTTCAGGAGAGGAGTGGAACAAAACAATACAAGTGGAACACTGAGGGTTGGATTTGAAAGCAAAGGTGTGCTAAGGTATGTGGTTAAACCCCTATAATAAGGAGCAGTGCCCAACATTTTTGTGATGACCCAAGATATGCTGCAAGAGTAATCGATAGGAATGTGTGAATTATTTTTGAAAAAGTTTGTTTAGTATCAAGGTAAAACTATTCAGTAAATTGCAGGCTTTCTGTTGATGACAGGTGGGCAAAATGTTTTATTTGTAATTGGGATTTTTAATCCTGATAACTCGGAGCCAAAGAAAGATGTGCATTTTTTTAAGCACATTTTTTAATGACCGCTGGGCATTCCAAAGTATTTTACAGCCAATTAAGTGTTTTTGAATTGGAGTTGCCATTGTAGGAAATGTGTTCAAGAGATTGTGGCTGATTCCATGTATTTGCCCTTGCCCCGTATTCCTCAATATCTTTAGTTCACAAAAATCTTTCAATCTCGGATTTAAAATTGTCAATTGATCCAGCATCATTTCGGAAGAGAGTTCCAAACTTTCCATCACCCTTTTGTGTGGAGCTTGTTTCCTCATATCAATGCCAATAGGTCCAGTTGTAATTTTTGGACAGGCCCCAGCCATTTCTTTAGCTGTTCATATCCATTCCCCTTTAATATCTTTAAATCTTCAATCAAATCACTTGGGAATATAGCCCTAGTTTGTGCTTTTTCTACCAAACGTACCGTTTGGATTTGAGGCATCGTTCTGGTAAATTAACCTCCAAAGCTGATATATTCTTTCAAAGACTTAGTCCCCAGTATTGCTTTCCTATTCCAGGTGTGGTCTATGATGTGGAGGCGTCAGTGTTAGACTGGGCTGGGCACAGTCAGAAGTCAGACGACACCAGGTTATAGTCCAACAGGTTTATTTGAAACCACAAGCTTTCAGAGCGCTGCTGCTTTGTCAGGTGCTGTGTGGGCTAGCCAGGGCTTTGCATCACTGGAACATGACTTTTACCCCCTTGTATTCTAGTCTTCCAGATGTCAAGTCCAGCATTCTAGTAGTCTTTTTGATTATTTTCTGAGATTTTAATGTTCTGTGTACCTCTTAACTTCCCAAGTCTCTACGGCTTCTAGCTTTTCATAATTTAGAAAGTATGCTGTTCACTCTTTTTGAATCAGTCAGTGCATGGGAGCACAGAATGTGATTAGGTCAAGTGCTGACAATGGGAATTCAGTGTAAGGGGGGGTGGGGGGGAAGGAGTATTGCTTTTGATATTTTTTCTTCACCGTCTAGAAGCTGGAATGTTCAAGGCTTTAATTCACTGACTAGTAAGGAAAATGCTAAAAAGGTAATTAGAGGCATTCTATTTGAATGCATGCAACCTTTGTAACAGGATGGATGAATTGATAACCCAAATAAAAATAAATGAGTATGATATGATAGCCATTACAGAGGTATGGTTGCAAAGTGACCAAGACTGGAAATATTGAAAAGGATTTGATATTTCAGAAGCGCAGGAGAAAGGAAATGGTTGTGATGTGCCTTTAGTTCAGAGAATCAAAATGTGGAATCAATTTGGCTCGAGATGAGACAGAAAAGTAAAGAAGTCACTGGAGGGAATGGTTTATTGGCCCCTGACAGTACGTGCACTGTAGGATGGAGTAGAAAGCAAAAAATAATTGGACGGCTAAGAATTATACTGCCATAATCATGGGAGATTTTAATCTTTATATACACTAGGGAAATCAGCCAGGAAGATGAGAATACATCCCCTATGTTCTGTTATGAGCAAAAGAACCAACTGTGTTTAAGACCTAGTTATGTGTAATGAGATAGGATTTATTAACGACCTTTTATAGAAAAAGGATTCTCTAGGAAAGAGTGATCACAACATGATAGAATTTCATATTTAGTTGCAGGATAAGAAATTTGGGTCTGAAATTAATATCTTGAACTTGCTCAAAGGCAATTACAAAACTAAGGAGGAAGAATTCGGACGCTTGAATAAACTGGCAAGGAAAATAGAAACAGTAAAATGTCTAAAAACATAAAGGAAGATAGCTAAAGTAAGTATTGATGCCTTAGGTGAGATGAGGGATAGGAAACTAGGAAATAACAGATTTTGAACAAGTAGTTTCTATCCATCTACACTATAGGAAATTTTAAAAAAAGCATTCCAAGTAGAAGATCAAGAGGCAGCCAGATGACAAGAACTTGAAACAAAGTTTCTAAACAGGGAAACTAATGGGAATAAAGGCAGGCAGGTTTCCCTGGACCTGATAGCCTGCATCCTAGATGATCTTATTGAAATATATATGGTTATGAGAGGGCTTGACAGAGTCAATGCTGTAAGGATGATTCCTCTCCTCAATAGAGCTATGGCACATAGTTTCAAAATAAGCAGCCTCCCGCTGAAGGTAGAGGTGGAGGAGGAATTCTTTCTTTGAAAATGTTGGCATTCCCTTCCACAGCAAGCAGTTGAGACTAGGCCATTGAATATAGTCCAGGCTGGGTTAGACAGATTTTGATGTACAAGGAAGTTGAGGGTAAGGAGGCATAAACTTAAGTTAAAGCCACAATTGGGACAGCTATGATGTTATCAAATAGTGGGGCAGATGTAGTAAGCCAAATGTCGTACTCCTGCTCCTATTACTTAGATCTTTATTTGCCTTTTCCTATAATCTGCCAATATCTCTTTGTAACTTCAAATTTCTGTTTCCCATCCACACTGCTTGCAATGCTACTTACCTTTCCTTCACTGAGCAGTTTTGATATGAGAGTTTGTATCCTGTTATTAATAAAGACGGTGAATAATTGAGGCTCAGATATAAATCCTGGGTGCTTTGCCATTATCCCTTCTCTCTGTCTGCAGCTGTTCAGTTGATTTCCTAACCAAGTCAATAATTTGTCTTCATTTCCATGAGCTTCAACTTCAGCAAACTGTCTCTTCTGAGGGACTTATCTTTTGGAAGTAACAGATAATCCTGTCCAGTACTTTAATTACCTCTTTAAAGATGGAGGGTATATTGAAAACTATTTTGTTCAGTAGTTAAAGTGAGAAAGAGGTCAGTCTGCTGGACATCCCGAGGAAACTACTGGGAATTGAACCAGGTTCACTTGGCCTGGCTTACCTTTTACAAATCCGCACTGTCTGTCTCTGACCAGCTGAGAATTTTCAAGGTCTTCAGTCACCTTATCTCTAGATGTGGACTCTAGTAATTCATCGTTAGATGCTAAGCTAACTGGTTTGTAAATTCATAGTAACCCCTCTCATTTTTCTTTGAGTCATGTGCAGAATTTTTGCAATCTAAATGGACAATTTATGATCAAGAGAACTTTGGAAGCTTACAGTAGCATTGACAATGCTCTCACCACCATTCTTTAAATCTCAGGGATGGAAATCATTAGCTGCTGGGTATTTTTATCACTCTTTAGTCCCATTTTTACCCTTTACTGTTACGTTGTTCACAATTTTGAGTTCCTGTCCCAAATTCAATATTAGCTTCTTGGGGATGTCCAGCAGATGGATCTCTTTCTTCAAATACGAATGCAAAGTAACTGTTTAAAAGATCTAAAATGTCACAATTATCTGGTATCAGTTTTCCAAGTTTATGTTGCTCTGAAGCATCCTTTTTTCTTAATATAATTGTAAAACTGTTTTTTGTTAATGATTTCCTTTGCCAATTTCTTCGCATACTCAAACTCTGTTTGTCACCTTTGTTTTTATACCTGGTTTATTTTGCCAGGATTTGTACTGCTTTTTATGCATTTTCTCTTAGTCAGTGTTGTCTTTCTTTTGTCATCAATGGCCTTATTTTTGATCAGTAGTACTCTTGTACCTTAGGGGTATAAATATGTTTTATTCATATTAAATTCTGTTTGAACCCCATACATTATCCATTTTACCCATTAATAAATGTACCCAATTTATGGGACAGTCTCGTTTCAATAATATTAAATCTACAGTCTTAACTCTTTCATGTTTGGTGCTTAAGCACCTCATTGATATTATGATCATAGAATCCCTACCGTGCAGGTAGAGACCATTCGGCCCATCAAGACTGCACTGACCCTCCGAAGAGCATCCCACCCACCTCTACATTATGCATTTCTAAATGTTCTGCTATTTCATTCTTTGTAATAGATTCTAACATTCTCTTATTAATGGGTGCTTACCTAACCTGCCTATGAGTCACCTTTTTTTGTCTCCTTCCCTCTTAAATAAAGGGTGTTAGAGTGGCAGTTTTCAAATCATTTGGGACTCTTCCAGAATCTAAAAATTACTACTAGTGCATTCACTATATCAATAGCTACTTGATTTAATATCTATGGATACCTCCCATCAGGTCCAGGGAACATAACCGTCTTTAGCCCCAGTATGTTTCTCTGGCCTTTTTTCTCCAGTGATATTGTATTTATAGTTACTGTTCTTATGTCATTTCCTCCTTTTCTCCCTTGATTATTTAGTAATATTAGAATGCTATTAATGTCTACTGTGACTATTTTTTTTCAATTTCTCTTGCCTTTTCTCCAAGCGGCCTATGTTCTCTTTGGCTTCTCCATTCCTTTAAAGAAGCTTTTGCTGTCTGCTGTGATATTACTTGCAAATATATCCTCAATGTTTACTTTCTCCATCTTTTTGTTTTGCTCATCTTTTGCTGGTTTTTAAGACTTCACTGGCTTTTATAAAAAAAAATCTTGAGCACCATTAGGCTGTTAACTAAATCTCGTGATATGCCTCCTTGTTGGTCCTAGGATATATTGGTGACAAAAGCTATATTGCACTTAAGAAATGCATTAATCTTCCTAACATGTACCAGTTTGCTTATCCTAATCTGGATAAAAGTTAAAATCACCCAATTATTCTTCTAAGTACTTTTCTAATCTCTAATTGTAACGCTTGTGAAATTGAGATTTTACAAAGGACCTGTATAAAATTCCCACTGTTGTACATCCTTTTCTGTTTCTTGGTCCCCATATCTATACTGCCTGCTTACCTCCCATACTATCCTCTCTGATCGTTGAAGTAATTTCATCTTTAATCACTTCCTCATTTCTTGTAATTTCTCTCTGTAGGCCTTAAACGGAGTACATTTAATTCCAGCTCTGACCATCTCGCAGACCCATTTGCAGAAATGGCTACCATGTCATGTGTTTTTCCAGTGCCAACACCAACACAGTTTGTGCTGAGGACCTATTGCTGAGTTGTCATTTCAATATAATTCTTTGTAATAAAGTTACTGATTCGTATCCACATTGGTAGATTTTTTTTTTGCCTCATTGAGGTAGAGACACTCTGCACTTAAAAACCATTGGGATTGAGTTGGATGGTTGGAAGGTAATAGTGCTGGAGGTAAGCCATCTCTTCACTGATACCTGTCTTTCATCTCACGTGAAATCATCTGTGTTTGACCACTGCCCATTCAGGAATGTACCCACTTCTCTCTGATAGCTGTCTTTATCTCCTTGAATAACTCCTGGCAGCTATAGTTCACTTTCGCAAAATCATGTCATCTTCACAAACAACAATCAGTACAACCAAAATGCTGTCTCACTGCTACCTTAATGTTATTCCCAAAAACTAACCTATTGCCCTTCATTTATTGGGTTTGCTCTATATTGGTTAAAAATGTTCTTCTGAATGCAGTTTGAACACCTTTTTATTACACTGAAGTTAACCTAATAATAATAGGATATTTAAAATTGAATACTATTGCTGCTGTTTTGTTTCTGCACTTCTCAGCATTTTTTTAAACATCTGCTTTTCTCTCTATCTTTTACGGTGTTTGGAGTATCTTGCATACTCCCTCAGCATGATCCTCAGTTAAACCTGTATTATCTCATTCAATTGTTTCTTCAACCAATTTTCAGCTCGAACACCTTTTTATTCATCAACTCCCTTGGCTATCTGAAAACCAAAAGCTCGAATTACCTTTCCTGCCCTCTTACCTGATATACTTCCAAGAGTCTATTTCACTTATCTGCATTGTGCCAGAATCTTCATCCATCATTGAAAGCTGTCCTTAAATCAAAGAACAACCTGCAGATCTATGGGGGAATGTGCTAACTTTGTTTTTCATGATGCTGTTGTGTCATTTAAGTGTTAAGACTTGGCCAAGCTAGACCATTCTGAACAGTTGGTAGCAAGCTCCTCATTAAGATCAAAGCTGTCCTGTTTCAGAGATCATCTCTGAAGTATTTCTTCATCCTGGCTGGAATATTGCCCCATTGTTTCAATGCTGCCTATGCAGACAACTATAAGAATTGACCTCTTTCTGTTTAGAAGTTAAATAAGTTTTTAATTCATAAATTAATCTTGTTCTATCAATTTACTGCACACCTGTAGTTGGGCATGAGATTTTTGGGCTCCTAAAAAAAAAATCCTGTATTTATGTCCCTGCAGTACTTTATAGTGAATTACTATTGTTTTGTAAGCATACACATCAGTAATATCCAGAAATGAGCAGTAACTAGTGAATTACTGTATCTTTATATGGTAGAGAGAAATGTACATTGGGATATTTCTCCGGCTCTTCAAGAGGTGGTGTGGGATACCTAGAACATCTACTGAAGCAAAGAGCCAAAATACCAATTTAATATGCATGTTATAAACAGGACCTGCAGATGTACAACATTCCCTCAACAGTACACTAGTTGGAAGCCCACACCTCACTAAGCCTTACTAGCATATTCATGGGTGCAATCAACCTTTTGCACTTATTATCCAAGTAACCACCACTTCTGGTATTTTCTCTACTTCATGAATGAGATCTCGAAATGATTGGTCTAACCAGATCACTCACTTGGGACTAAGCTACGTAACTGTTTATGGAGCGGACTAATGTCAAGGTATGGAGACTCTGTAACTAATTAGTTAGTTTCATAAGCAAAATGTCAGAACCTTGTGAAATGTGTGTACACTTTTCACATTCCCAAAAAGAGAGTGATTTTGTTCTCAGGATTTTGGTGGCTCTGGTAAGGCTCTGTCCTTATAGGCTTTCAAAGTCAACCACTTTGCATCTCATTTTAATGTCCTGCTTAAGACTACCTATTTCTCCCTTTTGTAATATTGCTCAACTTTGCTCAATCTCAGCTTATCCATGGCTGAAACCCTCATTGTCCCCTTTGTTAGCCCTGTTGTGAAGCAGTCCTGGTTGGTCTCCCATTTTCTACCATTCGTGAACTTGTTATCCAAAACTGTTGTGTGCCTTAACAAGAAGCCTGTCACAACTAACCTACAGTGGCTCCAAGCAAGCAACTTTGTTTTAAAAATTCTCATCCAAGTTTGTAAAACCCTGGCCTCTCCCCTCACTCCATAATCTCCTTCAACAACCCCCATCTCAAAATCTAATGTTCCCTGACTTTGGCTCTTGTACACTACCAAATTTTAATTACTGCACCATTAGTAGCTATAGTCTTAGTTGGGTCCCCAATCTCTTCACCTCCTTACTACACTTCCCAGGTTTTAAGGAGCACCTTAAATAAGGAGACTGTTGTGGTAATGTCCCTACCTCTGAACCAGATGAACAGTAGAAAGTATCTACTCTTTAAAACCTACCCCTTTGACAAAGCTTCGGGCATCTGACCTAGCACCCCTTTGGTGTTACACTGTTTTGTTTAAGTACTCCAATAAAAATGTCTTGGGAGTTTAAAGGTATTACATCAAGATAAGTTGCTGGAAAATTAAATCATATGGAATTGAACCAAATATCAGTTGGCCAGTGAACTATGTAGTAAGCTATGTAAAAGCATATTTGCCATGGTGAAACAGCAGGTGCTGAGGACAACATTGTTGCAGTTTAGAGATAACAGACAGCGTCGTCAGCAAAATGCATAAAGCTGTGACAATTGCGATTTAGATCAAATAGTGGCAGGCTGTCAGATTTTTTTTTTAAAAAGATACACACTGAAGTAGAGAGATTAGGAAGATTTCAGCAATGATTCCCAAAAGGTACTGTTAACTGAACATGACTGATGCCATAATAGAGAACACATTTTCACTCATGATCCCCATTCTCAAATTGGCAGAAATCCTTGCCAGAAGTGCATGACCAATGTTTTGCTGTCAGCAAGTTGCTTGTTAACACAAAATATATCCATTTGCTGAAGGGACTGGAGGTGACACCTCCTGCCTTTAGGAAAGCAAGGGGAGTAAGATACTAAGTTCTCAGACCCTATATTTATGTAGGTACTGACTTGCCTGAATGGATTGCACAAAATTAAAGGGATTGGGGCCCCCATTTTCACCCATCAGAATCTGGAGTTACATTCTAAAATGACCAGAAACAGAGAGTGAAACATGAAGTTTGTAAAGATGAGCAACGTTTGCAATATTATACCAGGAACCAAATAATTGCTGCAAGATTCGGGACGTGGTTTCTAGGTTGCAGGCCATTTTCAAACAAAAATGTGAAGCAAAACCATATTTGAGGCTAATAGTTTAGATGCTGTTATATGTACGATACATGAGTACAATAGAGAACAACAAACAAAATACATGCTAAACGGCCGAGAAAGCTAGATGTAATGAAAAATAAACCACCACCTAGTTGGACCAAATGGCCTGATTCTGTGCTGTAACTTTTATGTAATTCACTAACAATAACTTTGTATCTTTATCATAGTAAGCAACGGTATTTCACAGGACTGTCGTCATTAAAATTTTAACAGCTAAATAAGGAGCTAGTATGTTAGATGACCAAAAGCTCAAAGGTGAGTTTAAGGACCATCTAAAATGTTTGGAGAGAAGATTCCAAAACTCGGAACACAGGCAGCTGAAGGTGTCTGTCTAATGACAGGCCAGTGGAAATTAGGGATGACAAAGAGGCCAGAAATGGCAGAGTACAGACATCTTGGAAGGCAGAGGAGCTGGGGAAAATTACAACAGGACAGGATTACGGAGGGATGTGGAAACATTGATGCAAATTTCAACATCTAATCTAAACTAGAGATCACAAAGTTAGGGGTTAAATAGGGCCATTGCAAGCTTTAGGCAGGTGGCCTAATTTCAGATAAGCTTGTTTAGAAATCTCATTAGGATGAAAGTACAGTTTGTTATTGGCAGGAGGAAATTGACTTTTTAGCCTCAATTTGAAGGATTCTCTCTGGTCTGGAAAAGCCCTACGATGGCTTATTTGTAAGAAGCCAAGAAAGAAAAGGAATAAGTCAGTCTTTTCCCAAAGTGGCAGACAGTGACTAGTGGCGAACTGCAAGCATTATATTTGGACCCCAGCTAATTTACAATATATATTGATTTAGATGAGGAAACTGCACATCATTTCAGTTGAGACAAAACTAGGTTGGCAATGATGCTGTGTGGAGGATGCGGGGGAGGCTTTAGATGAGGCAGATACAGTATAATCTGGATGAATGCAAGTTCATCCACTTTTGTAGCAAAAACAAGTAGGCAGATTAATCTATTGCCATTCAGATAATAGAGTTCAATGAGACCTGTGCACTAGGTGTTGAAAGTAAGCAGGCAGGTGCAGCAGGTGATGAAGACAAATGGTATGTTGGCCTTCGTAGCGAGAGGATTTGAATACAGAAGCAGAGAGATCTCGACGCACTTATATAGGGCCTTGGTGAGACCACACCTAGAACAGTTTGCAGTTTTAGTCTCATCTAAGGATGGATGTTCTGGCTATTAAGGGAGTGCAAGGCAGTTTTACTAGATTGATGCCTGAGATGCAGGACTGACATATGGGGAAAAAGGCTGGATTGGTTAGGATTATATTCACTTGAGTTTAGAAGGAAGGGAAACTGACCAAATTCTAACAGGGTTAGACAGGATACACACGGGAAAGATGGTCCCACTGACCGGGGAGACCAGGGGTCACAATCTCAGGATAAGGAGTAGACCTTTTATGATCGAAGAAATTTCTTTGCCTAGAAAGTAGTGAGCCTGGAATGCCTTAGAAACAGAGGCCAAAACATTCAAGACTTAAGAAAGAAGATTTGATTTTAGGGCTAAAGGGATCAAAGGGCATGGATCAGCCAATGATCCCACTGAACAGCTGAGCAGGCCAATTCATGCTCTAATTTTCAATGTTTCCATTAGAACTTTTGATGCTGCACAAAACTACCTATGGTCTGACTTGCAGATTGACAATTTATTTTGTATGCATGCTTATAGACAGAAGGCTATAAGCAGAAGATGCCTTAACAAATGAGTGATATGTTTGTCATGAATGAAGCAGCATAATAAATAATCTGTTTGGGAGCATCACATACACACACTGGGGCAAAGGATT